TCTCCAATGTTTCTAATAATAATTTGTGAATAACTGTGTCGAAAGCTTTCTTTAAATCAACAAAAACGCAGATTGAAGGGATTCTGTTATCAATATTTTGATGTATCTGATTTACAATTTTAGTTATTGCGTCAGATGTAGCATTCCCTTCTGTAAATCCATATTGATTTTCACTTAAAATTTTGAATTTTGTGAGGTATATTACCTTTTTTTAAAATTGAGGGATATATGCCAGATTCAAAGCATTTGTTGATTAGGTAAGTGAGTGGTTCTGTTATGTCCTCGGCTATAATTTTCAAATGCTCGCTTTTAATACCATCGAACCCAGGACTTTTTCAATTTTTTGAGGACATAACAGTGGTGTATAACTTCACATTGCTCGACTTTATCCAAAATGAATGAGTTCAAAGATCTTTTTGGAGGCTGAGTATTGGGTACATTTGCTAAATTTTCGCCTATGTCAGTAAAAAATTGTACAAATTCATCGCATATTTGTTGAGTATTTTTTAATACTGTTCCCGATGTTGTAATTAACTCAGTGACACACTCTTTAAATTTTGTTTTCCCAGTTATCTCATCAATAGTTGTCCAAAGCCGTTTAGGATCATTTAAGTTATTATTCAATTTATTTAGGTAATGTTTTCGTTTGGTTTGCCTTGCAAGCTCTATAAATTTATTTTTATATTGGTTGTAGCAGTCGATATTCTCTGTAGTTGGCGTTACTTTCATTACATTGTACAGTTTTTCTTTTTCTATTGCCGATGTTATTAATCCTTTGGTAATCCAGGCATTTCTGCTTTTCTCTTTGTGACTAATTTTTACTTTATTGGTACTAATATCTATTAGTTTTTTTATTTCCTCTATGAACAGTCCCGTTACTTTGTCTATTATTATTTATAGAGTATAATTGTTCCCAGGATTCTTGTTTGACATTTGATATTAGTTTTGAATTGTCGACAAAAAATTTATAATTTTCCTGGTTGTTATTAACGGTAGGGATGTTAGGATGTTTTTCATTTGAAGATATGAGTAAAATAGTGGAGAAGTGGTCAGTAATATCGCTTTCTAGGATTATTGGTATACAAGTAATTTTGTTGGATAGGTCTTTCACAAAGCAGTGATCTATACATGTGCCACTGATGGACTTTGTAGGTAGGTTTATATAGGACAGAAATCCGTTACTTGATAGGATATTCAAGTATTCATTTGTGATGGGATCATCGTCCAAAGTATTTATATTGACATCTCCCAAGAAAATATGTTGCTTTAAATGAACGTTATTTTGATTTTGAAAAAAAAATCGATATTCTTTAAAAACTCGTGGGGTTCTGACATGACGGACGATATATTGCAGAAACCTCAATTTTGTTGTGGTTAATTTGATTATATTGGAGTTTATTTCTTACAAAAACCATCACCCCATCGTTTTGGTTATAAGTGCCAAAGTTATACAGCGTGTCATATCCCTGCTGCTTGAAGCACGAAATATCAACCACTTGCCACGTTTCAGTTAAGACTATTAGATCAAAATTGTACCATATTTGGTCGAGTAGTATTTTTAAGTAATCAATGTTGTGTTTTATACTCCTTATGTTCATATTAAAAATTCGAAATTTTGCATCAGAATTTTGTGTACATAAATTAAGTTCATCGACGTTTTGTGCTATATTTGTTGCAATACTTGGAATTTGGAAATCATTAATGTATTTATTGACTGACATTTTTAGGTTCTTTTTAGAGATAGGAGTATCAAAAGATGAACTTGAATTCTAAAAAAGTATCCTTAGGTTTTGTTGTTCCTGATAATATTTGAACGATGGACAGTTTTTGTCGGTAGGTGAGTGGTTGATGTTATAATTTTTTTTATATCTTTCATTTCCATATCTACAGTTGCAGCATTCTATTGTTACATAATAGTTCACAACATCGGATATCCGCATAATGGTATAACACTCACATGTAACAAGAAAAGTTCCGAAGCGTCGGGACCAAATAAAAAAACTTATGCTTGTGAGCTTACAGACAAACTTCCACACAGAAGTAGATTGTGAATATGTGTGTGAGGGAGACCGAGATATGGAAGATTTACCGGTAGTTTTATTGTGAGTAGGCCAGAATAATAATAATTGATATCTGGTAGAACAAACATTACGCCATCCCTGGTCAAAGTGGCATATTCGTAGCTCAGAAAGTCATGAAAACGAAACTTTTATGAATTGCATAATCTGGATATCGCCTATTTATCCATCTCTCCCTTATGTATAATGACATGAAACTAAATAGGATAAATCATATATATTTGGAATCAGAAATCTATAATTTCCACTGAAAATATATAGGGTGTCACATTTGAAACGAAACCTTAATCGGTAGCACTTTTCTGAGAATACTCAAACAAGATATTGTATGTAAAACTTTATATTAAATTCTTCAGCTCTTAAATGAAGCTTTTTTCTAAATAGTCTTACAAAAAAGTTAGATGGGGTCAATTTATAGCGGGCACCCTGTACGTCTGTCAAAACCCATCATTATAGAAAAGTGTAGACTCCAAAACTATTGAACTCACTCAGATATGCTAATCACTGAACAGTAATTGTAGAGTAGCCATAATAAACGTGACCCATCTAAGCAAATTTTGAATAACCTGAGAGCATATTTCATTTTGACCAGCGAAGTCAATAAGTTGCATTATTTATAGCCTTGCATAAGCGATTTTTCGACGCTCCTTAGACATTATCTATCTCATTATTTGATTATCGGAAACTTATTCTTGATTGATCATCAGTTTTAGAATATATCTATTTAACCAAACTAAGTAAACATTCAATATATTTGAATGAATGAATGAATCTTGAAATTAGAGGCATTCCGGCCACCATATGGAGCCAGTGCATAGGCCGCTTAAGCGGGCCCCTATGCACCTCTACAATCCTTAGATCACAAGCCTCGGTGGCATGGTGGCCATTTTCAACATTTACTTGCCTAACGTCAGTTCATTCTTCATTTTTAAATTAATTTGCTGCCAAATGTATTGATCTCCACTAATGTTTATTACCAATTTTATGCAAAATTTTAGAAAAAATTATAAAGTTCCAATTGACCGCTTACCTAGAAAAATTCTTTAAACTTCCCGACACTCAATCCGGATTTAGAAAAAATTATAGTACAACATCTACCCTACTTAATCTGCAAGACGATATTTTAAATGCCTTAGATGAGAAAATGGCACTAGCCTTAATTTCTATAGACTATTCGAAAGCCTTTGACAGCATCAATCATAAATTATTACTTGCTAAATTAAATTACATAGGTCTTGACAGTGTATCCCTTTCATTTTTCGACAATTACCTTCATCAAAGAACTCAGTGTGTTTTTCTCAATCAAGAAATGTCTCAAGTGACAATAATTCGCTCAGGCGTACCTCAGGGCTCTGTATTGGGGCCGCTTCTGTTCCTCATATATACGTTCGACTTAAGCAAAAGTATTGATAATTCTCATGTCCAGTCATTTGCAGACGATACGCAATTGCTTCATTATTTTAACCCAGATAATGTCAATAATACTACTCAAATTTTACAAAACGATGTTAATAAATTAATTAAATACTCTTTAGATCACAATCTACTTATTAATCCACAAAAATCTAAAATATTATTATTTTGCGCACAAAGAAAAACATACAATGTAACACAGCTCTTGAACATTCAGATAAATAACCAAATCTTGCAATTTTCTGATTCTGCAAAAATTCTTGGTGTTGTTTTTGATACAAAATTAAGGTTTATTGAACATGTTAAAAGTCTATCTCAGAAAACCTATCTACGGCTGCGCACTCTTATAGCAAACAGGTATTTACTAAATTTTAAGATGCGTAAAAAACTATGTGAAGCATTGGTCATATCTATACTAAATTATTGTAATATCGTATACTATACTTGTTTAGACAATTTCACTAAAAACGTTATTCAAGTTATTCAAAACAATTGTATACGATTCATTTTTTGCTTACGTAAATTTGATCATGTATCCCCGAAATATCCCGTTCTAAACTGGTTAAAAATTAATGACATGGTCAAGTATCACTATTCAGTTTTTGTTCACAAATTGCTGCTCACGTCTAAACCTTATCACTTGAAGGAAAAAATTTCATTTAATAATGATGTTCACTGTAGAACTCTCAGAGAAAATGATATTAGAATACCCCTGCATACGTCTACACTTTTTAAACGCAGTTTTTCTTACAATGTTGCTATTATTTATAATGACCTTCCTAAAGTATATAAAGAATTTTCATTACCTGTCTTTCGACAAAAAGTTAAAACATTATTACTCAACCCTCCAAACATATAATTTACGTAATCATTCATTTTTTTTATTCCATCCATTAATAATTTTTTGGTGCATTTGGGTTTGGAAAGTATCCCTTTTTCTCTGTTTTTTTAAACTTTACTTTCGATGTAATGAACCAAATCTGTTTGTGGATAGTGTATTCTTTTGGACATCTGCTAGAGACTATATGGTTAAGTGTAAGAGTAGCAGCATGCGAAACTTCGCCATATAAGTCTGACATTTGGCTATACTACATGTAATTGTGGATAAATAAAGACGTCTATTATTATTATTATTATTATTATTATTATTATTATGTATTAGTTTTGTTTAAGCTTCAAATCAATAAATCTTTAAAACTACTGAACTGAAGTACATTAATTTTATATCATTATAAAAGCAATTGAAAGACCTTTAAAATAAAGTATCACTCGACCCCCCAAGATTTTGGGGGTGGTGTCACCCCCGCTTAGGGGGCTGCACGTGCTAACGTGATTTTTTGCCAAACTTGTGTCCCCTCGAAAACAAAATCGACATATATCTTCCGCGAAAATATGTATAAGAGAACGGCAGTGGGTGACCAAAACGTCCTTAACACAACCACGTACCATCGGTAATTGCAAATGTGAATGAAAATGCCTTCTGCATACATAGATTAGTTAATAGATTCATCCGAAGATATCCCTGTTTTGTTCTCCGTATAAATTGAATGGTATTCTGCAAGGTGCAGTGCAGTGCATTGCTGGTGATGACCCGCCTCAAGATGAACAAGACCTTGGTATGTAATCTCTTTCCTATTCCTCTTTCTGTACTTTCGTGGAATTACATGGCACGAAAATGGGTGTGGAGTTGATCTTTTTCACCTGTCAATTACGAAATCGTGAGATTTAGGTACCTGGTGAACTAGTGCTCGGGAGAGTTCAAATATCGACACAGCGGCACATTTCAAAGTAGGGGGAACAGTAAATATCCATTTCCTTATTTTGTTCCATCATAGGCTTTCTTCTGAAGTACTGATATACAGGGTGTTCCTTAATGATATGCGAATATTTAAGGGTGTGAATCTACATGAAAAATTCATGTTAGTTTGCTTTATAAACTATGGTCCACAAATGTTTTCTTACAAAAACTCGGGGTGTTGGAGTTTTAGGACAAAAATGGAATTTAATTAATATTTCCAGAACCGCTTCAGATATTTCACTGATATTTCGTACGTATTAAAAGTTGATAAAGTTGCATATTTTTCAATGCAAAAATAATTTTTAGCTTTAACAGTGGCGTGCGTACGGGTATTGACCTAGATATTTTTGAAGAAAAAAATGGTACGCCAATGCTTTTTTGCCAAACAAAATTTATTTTTAAACTCCCCGCTCAATCCAAAATAAATGATCTCTCTTGAATTGTTTTCTTTTAATGCACCATTTTTGAGTGAAAAAATAAAAACCGTTCTATTGTCTGAGAAAATTAATGTAATAATTGAATAATGCAATTTAGCAATAAATATATAGTTGTTCTGGAATATGTCACTGGCTTTTGACAAGTCTCTGTTATTTAAATATATTCTCTGTGACATCTTTTTCATTATTTAGTTTTTATAATCTTGTTAATAATGGTGAGCAAGCCAGACAGATTTATCACCAGAGATATCTCGATCGTGCTTTGCCAGATAGTCTAACCATTTCTAATATTCATCGTTGTCTTGTTAAAACCGGTTCTGTCTGAAAAGGAACATCTGAAGGTGGACCTCTAAGTGTGATAACACCTGAAATTGAGGAAGCAGTGCTTCACGAAGTCGAAGAACATCCTGAAACGAGTACGATGAAGATCGCTAGATTTGCTAGATTTGCCATCAAATTGTTTCGAGAATTTTAGTGGATTTTTTGTTATATTTACCATATTTTAAGAGTAGAGCCATTACGTCCCATTGATTTTCCAAGGCGTGTGACCTTTTGTCAGTGGTATCTTCGAAAAATTACACAAAATCAGCAATTTTGAATCAATGATTCTGTTCACGGACGAAGCTAGTTTTTCTCGAAATTTCCACAATAATCGTTTGTGGGCAGAATAAAATCCCTATGCCGTAATCGAAACAAATTTCCAACACCAATTTTCGGTTAACGTATGTGCAGGAATTATTGGCAGCCACTTTATTGGCCCATTTTTCTTGCCGGGACGACTTGACGGACAGACTTACCTCAATTTTCTTCAACAACAGTTGCCTTTGCTGCCTGGTGATGTTCCGTTAGTAATAAGAAACAATATGTGATATACAGGGTGTCCCAGAAGTCGACGTCAAGCCCAAACCGGGTGATAGGCAAAGTCATAACAGCTATCAAAAAAATATTTAAAAAAATTTTATGTATGTGTTTTGAAAATTATAGGTCTTTGAAAAAGATATAGAAATTTCACACCCTACGGCAGTCTGTCAACTCTTGTTACTACAAATATTAACTTTTTTTGGATTTTATTTTTACAATGTAATGATGAATAATGCAACTTCAAACTGGTGTCTCAATCTTACTGCCAACTTTTCTCGTTTAGGAAAAATTGCCACTTATTTCCCAAGTATTCCAAAGTAAAACTTTGCTCAACTTTAACTGGCTGTACTGGAAACAAATGTACTACGAGAGTTTGGCAAGTAACCTTAAAAGTTGGCGCATTTAATAACGATTCCAAAATGGTATAACACTTAGAAGATTACTCGTTAACTTATGCACAATTTTTATTTGAACAAAAACTGATGAAAATTTTTCAAAATTTCCTAACTAAACAGCGATTATGAAAACGCACAAGGACCCTTAAGGATAACTGTTTGCACAACAGTGGGCGTCAAAATGCTGCTGATAATGATTTACCTTTACAGCAAATGCTCAAACTGTTTTCCTCCAGCCGCAATACACGCTCGACATCTTCTTAAAAAAGATCGGGTTATTAAACGAGCGAATCTACGGTTATTAACAAACTCAGCTGCTTCCAATAGTCTTTGCCGTAGCTCAGCTACATGTTGAATCGGCTTGAAATACACTTTTTCTTTTACAGTTCCGCAGTAAAAAAATCTATCTGCCTGGAAAGTTTTGATCGAGATATAGTACTCTCTCACTGAGAGTGCATAGTGCGCTGGACAGCCATCATGCTGAAACCACATGTCCCTGTAAATACTCAGTGGCACGTCCTCCAATAAATTTTGTACATGATTTTTCAAAAAATCCAAATAAACTTCAGCAGTCAAAGTCTCCGGGAACTCAAACGGACCGATTGTTTTACCATTTAAAATTCCTGTCCAATGGTTTATCTTGAAGCGATATTGAGATTTATCTTCTCTCATCAAATGTGGGTTTGCTACGTGCCAGTCGTGTAAGTTATGCAGGTTCATGTACCCAACTTTCTTAAATGTGGTCTCATCCGACCATAAAATTTTTTCAAAGAACTGTGGCTCTTTCCTGTGTCTTTCTAACATTGTGCGACAAAAAGCAACTCGGGGCTCATAATCCCGGGGCAGGAGAGGTTGAACACGCTGTATGTGGTATGGATAACAAGGACCCTTAAGGATAACTGTTTGCACAACAGTGGGCGTCAAAATGCTGCTGATGATGATTTACCTGCTTTTTGTCGCACAATGTTAGAAAGACACAGGAAACATCCACAGTTCTTTGACAAAATTTTATGGTCGGATGATACCACATTTAAGAAAGATGGGTACATGAACCTGCATAACTTACACGAGTGGCACGTAGCAAACCCACATTTGATGAGAGAAGATAAATCTCAATATCGCTTCAAGATAAAACATTAGACAGGAATTTTAAATGGTAAAATAATCGGTCCGTTTGAGTTCCCAGAGACTTTGACTGCTAAGGTTTATTTAGGTTTTTTGCAAAATCATTTAGAAAATTTATTGGAGGACGTGCCACTGAGTATTTACAGGGACATGTGGTTTCAGCATGATGGCTGCCCAGCGCACTATGCACTCTCAGTGAGAGAGTATCTCGATCAAAACTTTCCAGGCAGATGGATAGGGCGGTCTGGTACAACACCGTGGCCAGCCCGGTCACCAGATTTGAATCCGTTAGATTTTTTTTACTGGGGAACTGTAAAAGAAAAAGTGTATTTCAAGCCGATTAAAAATGTAGCTGAGCTACGGCAAAGACTATTGGTAGCAGCTGAGTTTGTTAATAACCGTGGATTCGCTCGTTTAATAACCCGATCTTTTTTAAGAAGATCTCGAGCGTGTATTGCGGCTGAAGGAAAACAGTTTGAGCATTTGCTGTAAAGGTAAATCATCATCAGCAGCATTTTGAATTGCACAAGTGCACAAGTAGCACATGTGTATGGTGTTGACTTTCGTAAGTCAATTGTTGTACTTCAAACCCGTTATTTGTCGTTGTTTACACCAAAAGGTACATCTCTTTTATTCCCTTTCTAAGAAGATTAAAACAAAAACAGCTAAAGCGAGTAGGTGGTTGTCATTCATTGTGCTTTTAAATCTTACTGTCCAAATGCGCTTATAAAGCCGAGTGCATGCACTGAAATTATGTACGAGTATCCTTGTCAAGTATACAGTTATACGTGGCCACCATTTCCTTTGTGTGCAATTGCACAACAAAACTCTTACAAGCCATCCAACTGTTCCTTGTGTGTAGCGGTCAATAAAGCTACTTGCCCGAAACAAAATACCAAATTGTATACAAAAAGAAACAACCGGCCGATAACGTCAATATATTGGCCTCTTAATATCGTTATCAGCCTATCCAGCAGTTTGATCACATCCATTGGGCGATGTCTGTGATGAATGCCAATGTCACCGGTTTTGACGTCTCTAGACTCCATTCGGTAAGAAACTCTGAAATATGATGTTCATGCTAACAAACCAAGATATAGAGGAGAAGATATTACGAAAACTAATCGATATATTTTTTTCGGAATATACTGAAAAACAATGGTTGGCGAAGGTTCAGGCTTACTCGGCTCTCAGAGACAGGCATTCAAATAATGTTTTTTTGACATTTAACTAACTTGAATTATTTATATAAGATACATGTCAAATGAAACATTAACGTTTACGTATGTGGTATTTGTGATTGACAAAACTGCTAGAGAATGAAGTTAGTCAGTTCTGCGAAAGGTTGGAAAATCTTGAAACTGGAGATACTACAGACCAAAATATGTGAATTCATCTAAACATACCTTGGTAAAAAAGTTGATAGTTTGCGAGATACGGGGTGGGGTGTCAAAGTTACAATTTTATTTTCTATTTTTTCTTATTGCTTGAGAAGGGTTTTAGATTTTGGCATAAAGCTCGGTATAGGGGGGTTTTCCAGTATGAAAAACAAGAATCCGTTATTTCTTAAGGACAAGCTTCTAGAGGGCGCCACTATTTAGGGTAATTAACTTATAACGTATGTTTAGGTCAATTCTCATATTTTGGTCTGTAGTATATATGTACAGCTTCAAGATATCCCAATCTTTCGCAGTATATGGATCACAATGTAAACTGTATGCACCTTGGTGTCATGCGATTGTGACTACATTTTTGATCGAATTCTCTCATAATGAGACACACTCTAAGAAATATGGGCAAAGTTGTAAATTACCCCGTTATCCTTTCGTTTTGGATGCTCTGTTCCCACTCATTCTAGGTGGTTTCAAGACATGCGCATTCACCAAATTTTAAACTGATAAAATCAAAAGAAATGGTGGAAGCACCTAGGTATTCAAACGCCCCTTATGCCTAATTCCGAATACGTAGAATGTCAAGGATCTAAAATAGAAGTGCAGGGACAAATACAGCTCTAAAACAAAAAAAGGGTGCAGCATATTTACGATGAATAGCAGTAGTCATGGGATAGCTTTGTCAGTTTGACAGCAGTTCTCATTCGGCTGTCAGATTAGACATTATGCTGATTAATGCCCCTACAATTGTAGGGCGCCTTTATGACCTCCTTGATTGTCATAGTTTTCTGCTTCTCCGTGTCAGAACTCTATTTTGAGGTTATGTCACAAACATCTATTTGCATCAAATTGTGCTTGCTTTTGAGTTATATCATGTTTTATCAGCCTCAAATTTCCTACAATTTAAAAAGAAAACATATCTTAACAATAGGAGAGCGCTGACGCTGACACGGGACAAGTATAATCTAGAAATTTTTGCAGGAGAGAAAGGAGGATGACAATCAAGGAGGCCATAAACCCGCCCTACAATTGTAGGGACGACTGACGATACGGGCCTAAAGTAACGAACTGTCAAAGCTATTCCACCGCTATTGCGATACAGCATTCAACCGCTAGATGCTGAACCACCTTATCTTACCTGAATGCACTAACTGTCAGTGGGAAGGTTTCACGTCTTATCAACGCTGTTGATCCAACAGCCTCTCAAGGATTTTTGTCCTGGTATATTTTTTCTTGATTCTGATATAAAAATAACGTGAATGTAAAGGTTTCTCGTCTCATCGCCCGTTGATATCACCACTTCGCTCCAGGCATTCTGTTGCTGCATACTGTGTCCGTTCCTTTGAGGAGGATTTCTCCAAAATCGTTAAGGTTTATGTGAATGTTCTCATCGCACAGCTCTTTCAAGAATTTCTGGCGTTGGAGTTTTTCTTCCTGAGCATCTTATATCGCCGTATAGTAGTGCCAGGTCTCTGGGGAGTTGCTGGTACTGTAGCATATTGCATTTCTCTTTGAGGTACTTTTCCTGAGTTTTGATAAAGTTGAAGTGAATGCAAAGGATTCGTGTCTTATCTGTAGGCATTTTGCATTTTTGTCTGAGCGTTACTACATTAATGTACCTATATGAAAATCTTCCGCGTATTATCACCGTATAGTAGCGCCAGGTCTCTCAAGGGTTCCTGGTACTCCAGCACATAGCGTTTCTCTCCGAAGTATTTTTCCTGAGCCTTAATGAAGTCAGTGTGAAAGCAAGTGATTTGTGTCTTCTCGCCCGTTGGTACCATCAACTTCCTCAAAAATATTTGGTACTCTAGATAAGTTTTTTCTGTTATTTTTTCGGAGGTTTTCGGAAGTTTTTGATACACTCATTGAGCACGTTCCAATGTAAAGCGGTTCAGCAGAAGAGCGCTTTTGTGTTGAATACCATTAGCCATGTGACATCTTTGTCAGCTGGTCACTTGGCGGTCAGATACGGTATTTTATTGGTTAAATTATGCGAACTGTCAAAGCATCAAAGCCCTGCAGCGCTGAACCTCTTTACGTTGACTGAATGCACAGTTGCACACACTGCGAATAAACAGGTTTCTCGTCTCATCGCTCGTTGATATCACTCCCGACTTTCTGTAGCTGCATACTGCCTCCTTTCATCTGGGAAATCCCAATGTAACGAGCTCCCTCAAGCAATTCTGGCATTGTATATTATATTTTGCTAAGCCTGTAATTACCCAAAAGTATGTGAATGGAATGGTTTTCGCTTTAACGCTCTTTAATATTACCATCTCATTTCTCATACCACACTCTCTGTTGCACATGATACCCAAGTACCTTCCCGCTAGGTGCTCGATCACAGCACCACACAGCGGATGTCGTACAGCCATATTTGTACTTGACAAATCATCATTTTCTTATCAAACACAAATAATAAAGATGTAGCAGGGTGTTATAGGTTTAAAATATTAAAAATGAATATTTTGATAATATATAGTAGAAAACACCAACATTATCACTCCCTAATCAGATTTGCAGCATAAAAACAACACATGTTGCAATCACAGCATATCAACCTATATTCATTTCAATGCAAAATAAGTCTGCAACTGGTAATATTTCTCCACATTTTTCTTGATTTATGAAATTTCCGCTCCAGCCTTTAACGAACAACTCAAAGCTTTTTCTCTTTCCTTTATTCTTTTCCGCTGTAGATAATAGATTATCGCGATTTCTTCTAATTCCATCATAAAACGACAAAATACTTACTCGAACCTCACTTGAAAAATGAATTAAGCTATATTTGTAGTAGTGGATGATTCCATAATGTAATGCTTAAAAATTGCTTTTTCTTAGATGATACTGTCAGTTCTGCTCGCCAGAACGATGGGACAAGGACGCTTTAGAGCTATTGTACCTAAAGCAGTGCCTAGAGTTGCGCCCAGAGCTGCGTTTGAACCACAATCTCCAGGACGTGAGGTGAGGATTGTTAGCCAGGCAGCTGATGTCGACATAGATGGATCCTACAGATGGAGGTGATTTTTTGTATGATAGTAAATATCTTACCCAAATAGAATAGAATGATCTGTAGTAACAACATTGACTATCCTATTTTAGCTACTATAAATATGAACACATTGTGTATTGTCCTTTTTTTAAATGTAACACGTTTTTGTCATGTCTAAAAAGGAAATGGATCATTTTGTAAAACACGTTGAACCTAAATTTATACAAACTGCAATATTGAAAGATGTATCTGAAATTGATAATATAATTCCTAGTGAAACGGATAGCTTAAGCTTACTTCATCTCATTATTAGGAGTAGCTGTAAAAACCTAGACAGTTTAAAACTACATTTGGAGGAAATAAAACACAAATTTGACATAATCATATTATCAGAAACGTGACGAATTGAGGATGCATCTCTGTTTGGCATTGACGGCTACGCTAACTTTTATAATGAAGGTGATATCAACAAGAATGATGGCTTATTTGAACTACATTGTCGCGACCACATTATATCACTTGATAACAATCTTAAACTTTTAGAGATGGATCTCAAATTTGATAACAAAAAACTTAAAATGACGATTTATAGACCTCCCAGTACATGGCCACACGAGTTCATAGAATGTCTCGACATTACCTATCCAGAATTAGTAGCACGTGTGTGCATGTGCTGGTTGGCGATATAAATATATACCTGTATATATCAAAGGTAATAGTAACTTATCAAGCAAATATGTTAGTATGTTGAGTAGTCATGGATTTCTATCTTATATAAATGATTTTACTAGAGTACAGGGACAAGCTAATTCCTATATAGATCCCATCTTTGTTCGACATTCATTGCCTACTGACAACTATATTCCAGCTGTCATCCACTCTGATATAACCGATCATTTCTCAGTGTTACTCCAATTACGCACTCAAAATAAGCAACATGACTGCCATAACATGCTATATAAAATACATTGTACTGATAGAGATAAATTATTCAACAATGTCAGAGCCGAAAATTGGCTGATTGTTTATGTTGCAGACACGATAGATGCAGCGGCCGAAATATTAGTGGAAACTATTAAAAATATTGTAGACAGAAGTACAAAAATGTTCAGAATTAAAAGCAAGATCCAAAAAAGAACGCCACGGATCACAGGCGGATTAATCAAATTCATAGAGGAAAGAAACAAATTATACACAGAGCTCAAAAATAACCCAACCGAAGAGAAAAAAACAAACTACAACAACTACAGAAACAAACTTGGAGATTTAGTTGATGCAGCGAAGAGAAACTACTACCAAAAAGAGCTGGAAAATAACAGATCTAATCCAACTAAGTTGTGGAGGTCCCTGAACAAATTGATAGGAGGCAACAATCAAATCGGAATACATGGAATAAAACTAGATGATGACAATAAAAGCTCTGACAGAAAAATGATAGCAAATAGGTTTGCCGATTATTATGCACATGTAGGTGAGACTCTCGCAGATAAGCTAATTGAAGATATAGACACTAATACAAATTTCCCACAGCACTCTCGACAAAACTCATTCTTTCTTTATGATACAGATGATGAAGAAATAATTGAAACAATAAATTCTTTAAAAAACAAGTCCCCGGGCTTGGACACAATCCGGCCTCAGCACCTTAAAATCATATCATCTGAAATAGCCCCACCTTTAAAATATATTTTTCATAAAATATTCCAGAGTGGATATTTCCCAGCTATATTCAAAACTGCAATAATAACACCCATATACAAAACTGGGGGAAGGTCGGAAGTAACTAACTACCGACCTATATCGTTAATATCTTCGTTAGCTAAAATTTTTGAAAAGATTCTGAAAAAACGTATGATAGCTTACTTAGATAAATACAAAACAATATATAATAAACAATTTGGATTTAGACAAGGGAAGTCAACAGATGATGCAATACTTGATCTTATGACTAAGGTTTCCAGTAATATAAACTGAAAGGACCCAACTCTATGTGTCTTTGTCGACCTATAGAAGGCATTCGATACAGTTAGCCACAACCAACTCCTCGCGGTTTTAGAAAGAGTAGGCTTTAGTGACATTGCATAGTCATTAATGAAATCCTACCTATCAAATAGGACGCATTATGTGAAGATTAATGATACTTTGAGTGATGGCAGAACAGCGAAGTTTGGAATACCACAAGGAACTGTATTGGCACCGATATTATTTAATATTTACGTTAACGAACTATACTAAGTGACATAAATCCGAACACCCAGTTTAAATGGTTTTATTTTAATAAAATTTTGTATAAGTACTTAATGAAGCATAATAAGTAAATGATAAAAATTTCAAAATGATTGCACTGCTTTAAAGCCCTTTAATAATGTGTGGATGCACCCTGATGTGCTACGCATTCTCCAACGCGCCTAGGCATGCTTCTGATCAGGTGGTCAATGACCTACTGTGGTATCTCATTCCAGGCAACCACCGACTCCTCTCGAAGTGCTTCTAGAGTCTGAGGAGGACGTTGCAAATTGAGCAATCTCCTACCCATCATATCCCACACGTGCTCAATTGGGGATAAGTCGGGAGATCTTGGTGGCCATGGTAACAATGTGACATCATTATGTTGAAAGAAGTCTATTGTGACTCTTGCAACATGTGGTCGGGCATTATCTTGTTGGAAAGTTGGATCTGCCAGGGTGTCAAGATAGGGTAAAAGATGGGGTTCTAGAACTTCGTGGATATAACGCTGCGCGTTCATGTTACCTCTGATGAAGATTAAAGGTACCATAAGCTATAGCACCCCTAACCATAACTCCAACAGTGTGATGAACATGTCTTTCAACAAAAAACTGTGGATTCCTCCTTTCACCACGTCGCCTTCTAACCCTGGCACGACCATCGTGCATGCCTAAACAAAATCGAGACTCGTCACTAAAGACAATACTGTTCCATTCCTGATCCCAGAGTGACCGTTGTCTGCACCACTCAAGGCGATTACGTCGGTGTTCTCGAGTTAAAGGGAGGACCCAGTGTGGCCGGTATGAAAACAAGCCAAAACTTCTCATTCGTCGGTAAACACTTCGCATGCCAATAGGTCTTCCGTGTTCTGTAAACCATTCATTTTCAATCGACCTGGTAGTGGAGAAACGGTCCCTTAAGGCCAATGATCTTAGGCGGCGATCTTCACGGTCTGTTGTTCTACGGCGGCGTCCAGTGCCCCTTGCTCTTTGCGTACGGCCTTCTCGATGCCATGCCTGACAACACCTAACCACAGTGTCTACACTTCTTTGCACTCTAACTGCAATTGCCCGAAAAGAAAGTCCAGCTTCCCGAAGTCCCACTATACAGCCCCTATCAAACTCACTAAGTTGACGAAATTGTACAGGTCTCCGTACTCGTAACCGATCGTAAAGGATGTCAAGAACCAAAATCCGCCAACGTCGATTCTTTACTGCGGCTGAAATATTCATTTTTGGAGCGTTAGTGAATTAAAAAAAAGCAGTATAAAAACCGGAATGTCCAACTGATAAGGCTGAACATTTTTTCACTTGTTATTTACAGTAAGATAAACACATTCACCAACTTTTATTAAAATAAAACCATTTAAACTGGGTGTTCGGATTTATATGTCACTTAGTATATATTTACTAGAACATCGAGGAAAAATCATAAGTTTTGCTGACGACACGGCCATCATATTATATAGTTCTCAAAACTGGGACAACGTCAAACCTCTAACAGAAACAGAATTTTGCAAGAATATCAAATGGTTCAACTACTTTTAACCGTAAATTACAACAAAAATTGTTACATCCCATTTTCATCCTGTGAACGATATATGCCCAAATATTCAAATTTAAACATTGAGCTGAAAAACAACCAAAACGAACAATTGTAACTAATTTCTTCGCGCAGTGTTAAATATCTGGGAGTGTACCTAGATTCTACCCTTAAATGGAACACGCACATGCATTTCGTATCTTATGAAATACTATGACTTCCATCAAATGAAAGTATGTATTCTATTATTCACTAGTTGAGAGCCATTTGAGGTATGGTGTGATCTCGTGAGGAGCAGCGTGTAAGACACACATGAAAAATCTTGAGACAATACAAAAGTACATTCTAAAGGTAATATATAGTAAGCCAAGAACATACCAAACAGAACAGTTATATACCGAAATTGCAGTGCATGATATTCGACAACTATACTTCATCCAGACCATCATGAAGCAGCACCAACTGAAATATAAGTTACGCCAAACTGAGCATGACTATGATATCGGCCATAAAGTAAGAGCATGTTTACCAAAGCTTCATGTCAATGTCATGCAGAGATCCTTCCAATACCTAGGACCAAAGCTTTATAATAGTTTGCCTATTATCTTAAAACAGTATAACTCTATGCAGTTTAAAAAAGAACAAAAAAGTGGAATAATGAAATACCTCGCCTCAGCTAATTCTTTCAAATACATATAAATCGATTCAAACTTTTTTTATAAAACTGTCAAGGAATTCTTTTAAAAGTTCTTAGTATATACATAAGGTTAAGTATATTAACTTCCTAATTGACTATTGTACCTATAATGACAATTATACTGATATAGACTGAATATTGGATAGACATCTCACCACGCACAGGCTTTGCCTTCTATGGGTATTTCAAATTTATTTGGATGTATTTTATTTCGCCTGGAACATTTGTAATTGCACTGAAAGCAAACAAATATTATTATTATAACTTGCCCGATTTAATTGGGTGACACTCAAATTGTGATTAATGATTTAAGCATACCTAGTTATGTAGAAATGATGGCAGCACCACTACATGTTTATTTTATTTTATTTATGTACTATGTTAATGATACCGCTGTACTTATAAGACATCCTCCACCTGATTGCTACTTCTGTTCCATATAGTAAGGATTCATTTGAATGCTAGATGCTTCCTTACAACAATCTATTTATAAATATTAGGATTTGAAGATAGAACGGTATTAGCACGTTAAATAGTTATTTAAGGAAGGAGATTAGCCTTTTATACTTGGCGTCACGGAAATTTCAGTAGGGCCATCAAAGACAAAATCAATCAATTCGACAGCTTCCAGATGTTCAAAATGACGTAGATAGCGTCTTTGCTCACAGCATCTCATTTTCGTCAACGTGGCTGCTTATCAGAAAGCTTTTTTTAAGATAACACATGCCATACGGTTCATGAATTTGGGTCCTTAGAGAAAGAGCATATTAGATTTTCTCAGAACTTTCAAATAAAGAATAGGTAAAACTCTACTTTTTCACCACTCGATTCACCTGATGCTTTACCCATCAAAGATAGGGAGAGTGTAAAGAAAAGCTATTCAATTGACCCTAGCACTACCTACTACCTCAGTAACATAACTGAACCTTTGAATTTCATTTCAGTTTTGAAGCTGACAACGGCATATCCGCTCAGGAGCAAGGCCAACTGAAAAACGCCAATGCCCAAGACTCAGCGGGTGAAGCCCAGGGCCAATTCCAATATACTTCACCAGACGGCACCCCAGTGCAGATCTCCTACATCGCCAATGAAAATGGCTTTCAACCTCAAGGAGCCCATTTGCCGGTACCTCCGCCAATACCCATCGAGATACAGAGAGCGCTAGAATGGAATGCAGCTCATCCAGAGGAGGATAACGCTGGTGGTGGAGGAGGAAGAAGACTGTGAAGAGTGAATATTGATTATTATTTGTCGTTATTTGTATAAGAACTGCCAATAAAATGTTGTGTGATATAAAGGCTTCTATACAAAATATATAGGGTTCCAGAAGATGTTGTAAAGGCTTCTATACAAAATATATAGGGTTCCAGAAGATGTTGTCAGAACAATTCAAGAATGCATCCTGCGCATTGGGATATAGAGAAAAGCCTATATGAACATGAGCCCAGAAATTATCCGTCTTCATGACGCCATATCTTCATCCTTTAACGAAATTAGGTCTTATTTCAAGGAGACAATGTTTTTTATTGAAAAGTATCACATTGATTTCTTCGTTTTGTTTGTTACAAAAAACTGACAGCTCAATTTTTTATAACCATGAAAAGCTTATTGCACCGGATAACTAATATCTTTCTAGTTGTAGTTTTCCCCTGGGTAAATAAAGAATGTGTGCATTCATGAAAATATCTTTTGCTTTACTAGAAACAGAATTATCTATTATCTACCATTGAATCCTCTATTTATTTTAAATATTTGTAATAATGATTGCTCACTACAAGACAATACAAAGTCTACTTTATAATTGTAAACTTTATTGATTGTATTATGTTGAGAGCTTGAAGGTCCTAGGCTACGATGAATTGGAGTATTTGGAAATCAGTGGGAAACGAATGATGTGTCGATGTACGTAGCATCTTCTGCCGTAGTCGGACTCTATCACGTAGCGACAGCGTCTTTCTCCTATGATTTAGAGATTGTATGTGTTTTGATTGGACAGTGTTGCGGAACGTCCAGAATGTGGTCAGTAGTAGTGACAAAAGAAGACAGAAGCTCCGCGGTCTTTTCAATTTGATATAATATTTAGTACCACCACAAATTTCTCGAATTTGCTTTCAAATTGGAGCACAGAATCATGTCTCTTGGTCCATACTATGAATTTGATATCCGTCTAGTTTTCTTTTTAATACTGTATTTCTTTTAGCGGATGCTTTGAAGAACGCAATTACTTCCTTCATTATACCTACAGTATTGCTTACTGCATGGGCTTTTTAGAGCATTTGGCAAACATTTTTGCAATTCTATTACCCCTTTACCCACCGTGGGAGCGCCAGTGAGTGCGGGTGATGAGAAATGTCCAGGCATACATTAATGTTGCAGGTTATTTCTGAGTGGTAAACAGATAATAAAGGATAGGTGAATTACTGCAAGTCAAGCTGGGCGGTTGTCGCGGCGGGCGGATAAATTCTTGCATGGGGTGACACGCCGCTTTGCGGTATAACAATCTGGTGTACAATTAACAAATTAATACATTTCATGTCTGACTGCATATTTTTTTGTTTTAAGAGTAGCTTTGGTGCTCGTTTATTGAAACTGATCGAATTGGTTAGCCAGTAATTTTCATGTGGCTTATACATTTAGTGGGTCAGAAAGAGACATCAGGATTTTTTCTTAGCACTTTTATTTGGATAGTTACGGGCTTCGTACCTGGAATTGGGATTCTTTGAAAATCAATGCCATGCAATAATAATAATAATAATAATAATAATAATAATAGTAATAATAATAATAATAATAATAATAATAATAATAATATTTATTTACTCAATGTGCAAGGAGAACAAACAACATCAGTAAAGTAAAGTAAATGTAGAATCAAAACAGGTCCAATAGAAGTCATTCCCTGTACATGGACCAATAATTTGAATTTGCAACTGTAGAATGCAAATAATGAAAGAGGGCAAAAACTAGTCACAGTAGATTATGAATTTACTTGATGTTCGTATTTATGAGTTTATGAATTTCCGTCCTAGATATAGAATGTAGCCACTTTTTCAAATTTATTTTGAAATTATTTCCGAAACGTAAGTCTTTTAAACCCTTTTGTGTAATTTCATTAAATGTTGGCGCTAAATAGAGATATGCAAGACCGTTGCATTGTAGATTTATGCGGCTGAGGAACTGCCACGAATTTTGCATCCTGTGTAATGATTATGTTTAATTTTTTGGTCGGTGTTGACAAATTGATGGTAATGGCTGATACTATGTAAGAAATAAAGCTGTCTTATATCATAGATTTGTACATCTGTGTATAATTTGTGAGATAAAGTTTGGGTATTTTAAACATCATTTTTTGAATACTGTCTTGAAAAATATCTAAATTATTGATATGAACATGCTGATGCCCATGCTAATATACCATACGTGAGATGAGGTTCAATCAGTGTATGGTATGATGTCTGTCAGTATATTCGCAAGGTATTTTGTACGATACAAATCTAACTTTCATTAAAATATAATTGAAATATATGTCTCAACGTAAGTGAAAATCCTAGACTATTCCAAGATATTTTATGTTTGACACTCTATTAATTTGCATATTTTGATCTTCAATGATAAAGGAGAAATTTGTGTAATTTGGAAGATGTCAACCACCGAATAATTTGGAAAAATGATTTTCAATTACATTTTTTAGATCTGACCACTCAGTGCCTTCAAATAATATTACAGTATCATCTGCAAAGCTAGTTATTTTGCCAACACGATTAATTTGGAAAATATCATTTAAATATATATTGAATAACAGTGGCCCTAAGACTGTTCCTTGTGAGACACCACACTTAATATACATTTCTTTGCTAAAGGATCTTGATATCTCGACAAATTGTGAACGATTTGATAGATAATTTTCGATCAGTGAGTACGCGTTTCCTCTGAAACCAGTTCTCTCCAATAATAATAATATTTCATTCGCCAGAATACAAAAAATGGGCAAATAAATATGAAAAAACCTCAGAAGGCATCGCCTGCGTGTGGTTTATATCTTAATAACTAACAATCAATCATATATGTATATAACAATTATTGTTAAATCTAAAAGCTATTAATGTAATTGGAATTTTGTAGTTTTAGTTTTCTATATAATTATGTATAGTCATTCGCTGCACATTACTAACCCAGTCTTTCAATTTTCTTCTAAATTTCTTTCCAAAATTAAGTATCTTTATTTCGTTTGGTGCTATATTATATAATTTAGCTACTTAGAATTTAAATGATTTTTTGAATAATGTTTTGTGTGGTCTTTGGATATTAGATGAGCCTATTCGAAATCGTGTGTTATGCTCGTGTTTATAGGATTTTTTCCTTTTATTACAATACTTATGGTATAAGGTGGTGGCATGTGAGAAATAAAGTTGTCTTGTATCAAGTATCCCTGTTTCTTGATATAAGCTGTTCGTTGGATATAATCTTGGCTTATGGAAAATGGCTTTCAAAACAGTTTTTTGTGCTATATTCAGGTCAGAAATATATGTCCTGCAGGCGGCACCCCAGGCTGTGATGCCGTATATTATATGGGTTTCAACTAAGGCATGGTATAGGATTCGCAGATAACTTTCTGTAAGAATGTTAGCAAGCATTTTGAGTTTATAGGCAACATTTCTAATTTTTTTGATAACATATTTAATATGGTTATCCCACCTTAGATGTGAGTCTATAAATATTCCAAGATATTTCAAAGTGTTAACTCTATCGATTTTGGTCTTTTGTCCATGATAATTAACGGAAATTTGTTCGAAGGTAGGTAAAAATTTTGAATAGGATGTAAATACAATAAATTTTGTTTTTTTGAAGTTAACTGTTAAAATTTTAGTTTCAAACCAGTCAATGATCCTTATAAAATCCTTCTCAACTATTTGCTTCAGTGTGCTTCAGTCATCAATGCTTCTAATAATAATTTGTGATTTACTGTGTCGAAAGCTTTCTCTAAATCAACAAAAATGCAGATAGAAGGGATATTGTTATCAATGGTTTGATGTATTTGATTCACAATTTTAACTGTTGCGTCCGATGTAAATCCATCTTGATTTATAATATAGCTTTTTATTTTCTGCACGGAACTGATTTTTGGGCTAGAGATTTTTGGAAAAAGACCTGTTCCCTCTCATAACGCTGCAGGCAAAAAAATGTAATGAGAACGATCATCTGTTTGTTATAATGGCGAAATCTCAAATTTGAGCTGAGTAATTACCCCAACACCACCAAAAGGTGGGTATAAAAATATGCGCGCCTATTTTCGTTGATGCGATTAATTGTATAATATGTACTTATTTAACTGTCAGAGCAAAAAGCCTGGATAGCTATCTGTTGCACCATTAGTCAATGTCAATCTAAAGTTGTGGGCACTCTGGTACATGTGGGAAAAGCTGTAGAAGGCACAGAGAGTGTATCATGCATTCCGTGATTGATAACTCTAATAATTCAGAAAAAATCCAACGGGGCTTCCGGTTAACCAGAATGTGATCAGGAAAACTTAAGTGCAGCTTCAGCGCGTTGAAATAAAAAGATGATACGGAGTGTTCAGACTTTATGTTTAGCGACAAATTGTGCGCCACTGATGTTTCGAAAAATAGTTTTGCTTTCTCAAAGTCGTTCTAAAACTAAGCTTAAACAGTATGTCTTGAGCTTTCCGTGGTGTTTGTTAAACACGTGTCAATTTTTGTCAATAACTGTATTTTGGCTAATCAATTAGTTATTTCGAAACTGGAAAGCTCAAAAGTGCAACTGATGGCCAGAATCTATTCGACTGACTAGCATGAACGCGACTAATATGTAAAAGCGCTGCCAAGCGGATCCCAACGAAACCTTGTTAATCCAATATTAGAACTGCATAAGGTTAGAAGAGCTGGGAAAAATCTCCTCTTGAAGATTATTCCACAATCTCGACATACTAGGGACAAAGGAGTGGTCGTATCGGCCAGTTCCGGATGTGCGAGGTTCGTCATAGTTATGACGGGAGGCAGAAGTGAAGGCAGACACATCGCGCGGAGGCATCATGAGGAGTAAAGCCCATAGGGTTATAAGACTGTCTGTTACAGAAGAGTCAGCGTTCAGTCGGACAGCCCTCCCCTAAACAGCATCGAGAGTGAATAATGTAGTCGAGGCGGTAGCGCCCCAAACATGTGAGCAGTACCCGAGGCTAGGTCTCATCTGGGCCTTGTGCACAGTAAGGGAGTTATTTGAAGAAAAGTACTTATTAAGCTAAACAAATAGCTTTTTTCGAGAAGCTGCCGCCATTGACGAGATGTCTTCGTGCCAGAAATGAACGGCTCTTTGGCAGAACTCGGTCATACGGCAAAACCGGATGAACGCTAGGACGCTTTTTGTTCGTTAAGGTACAGTCCTACGTTTTGGAAGCAGTAAGCATCCCACAAACCGGCGCGAAATATTCGCTTTGGCTGCGAAAATTTCGCGGCGATGAATTCACGATCAGATAAAAACGCGGCGGTTTACGGGCAGTCTCAGACTTGTGCGAAGCGAATGCGATTGTTCCAGCGTTTTTATCGCGGCGTATTTCAGTTCGCCTTTGACCGCGTTTTTGACGCCGTTCTTCAAAAATTCGCAATGGCAAAAACGGAATTATTGATAGAAATAGTGAAAAAGTATCCTTGTTTGTATGATTTGTCGAACGATGAATACAGGAATGTGAGAAAGAAAGACAAGA